TGGGTTTCTTATCTTCAAAAGCCAATGCTAATTATGATTTCAATGACCAAAGCAGACTTACAGTGACAGAGCAATTGCGTCAATACATGCCGATCATTTAGCAGAGTACTGTGGGGCAGAGTCTGTGCTGAACACGCAGAGTCTGTGTTCAACATTTTTATTACTCTCATATTAATAGATTTCCTGATGCAGCATCTTTGGAATAAACCATAGTATGTCAGAGTGCTTAACCTTTTCGTTGCTATTGAAAATGTTGCACGCCTAGTCACAAATAAAACTGACCCACAGTTTTTGTAATAACTGCCATTGCTGTTTCTCTTCTCAGGACGTTGCAGGGCTTAATATTATGGCTACACCGGTTTAAAGAGTTGCATTGTTGAGCTTTTCATTTTTCTTGCATCGTCAGAGGTTTCTAAATAGCGTTGGGAATATGTGTGCTTTAGTGGTTAGATAGAATTCCATTGCGACGCCATCTGGTCCTTATGCTTTTTAAGGGTAAATCTTAAATCATTTTTCCACTTTTTCTGGTAATTAATCTGTTCAGATTTTCTACTTCCAAAGTAGTTTTGGGAGTGTGTATTTTGATTGGGAGATAACCATTTTTTCAGGTCTGTTTGCATGTTTGTTTACTTGCTTGCCATAGATTTACACATATTATTCACTTGCAATTCTTAAAAAAATCTCTTCCATATATATGTTTAAACCTTTTATTTAATTTGAACCATAAATATGTTTCTTTTTTAGTTAATCAGTCTCATAAGGCACTTATATATTTTTTATTTTTTTCAAAGAATGAGATTATTTATTTTAAAACATGTACTTTTTTCTATTTTATTAACTTCAGTTTTTGCTTGAATAAAATTTTCTTCATTCAGGCTTTTTGGTTTGTTCTTGGTTTTTATTTCCTAAGCAGAGTCTAATTTCCTGTATTTTTTGTCTTTCTTCTTACAAAATGATGCCATTATAGGCTCTGAATTTTTCCCTGAATATTGATTTTGTTGTGCCCTACAAGTTTTGATTTCTCCTTTTTAGGTTTTTAGATAATCTGTAATTTCAGTGAAGTTACACTGTGTTTTTAAATCCCAAGTAGCTAAAAATTTGGGTGCTGTTTTCTATTAATTATTTATAATAATTATTATTTCAATCACATTACGTGGTCTATCAAATTTCTATTTTTGAGTTTCTTAGCTTTTTGGTAGTCGTGAATATGATGAATTTTTGAAAATGTTTGTTAGATGTAAAATGCATAATATATAGTCAAAGAACAAAGGATAATATACACACATATAATTTATAAATACATATATAGTGTGTGAATTGAGTAGTTCCAGAATATGTATATATTTTTACTACTAATGTTGCTACTTTGGCTTTCTTCTTGTATGCCTGGTATATATGCATCCTTTTTATTTTCAACTTCTTCTATTACTTTGTCTCAAATACATTTTTGTCAACAATATGGAGATGGGTTTTATTTTTAAAACATGTTTGGCGGTCTTTGCCCACTCACATATAAGAACAATTTTATATGATTTATTTCTTTCACATTCTTTGTATTATTATTCATTGTACATTGTTATTTCCTGTCATTCCTTTTATTTATTTTTTGCTGATCTGTTCTAGACTAAATATCCCTATGTACCTACCCCTTTGCTAGTTTAGAATTTATGCTGTTCTTTTTGACACCACCACCAATTATCTCCTTTCTTGAACTTCAGAATCACTATTCTACTATTGTATTAAGATATCAGTTATTACTCTTCACCAAGATTCTGTCACCCACCTGCCCATTGCTATCTTCTGACTCCAATGAAATAAGAATTTAGAAATATTTTTTCTTGTCCTCTCTGGTCTATTCCACATCTTCAGGGCTTTATTTACAGAAAGACCCTTTTTTTTTTTTCCAGTTTTAAACATTTTCTCTTGTAGCATGTCACTTCTATTTCCGGATTTCTTCTTTGGTATGCATGCTATACATTTCAAGACTTTTGATAATTATAGACATCTATCTTTTTCTACTTATCACTCTGTTTTCCTCTTCCTATCTTCTTTTGTCTTGAGGTCTCCTGTTAAATTTATTTCTTCTTTGATTAGAGTCCTTACTTCAGTGTTTTTTTCAGGTGAAGTAGAGGTGACATGTTTATCCAATCCTTACATACCTGCAGATATCTTCCTTTCACACCAACCAATAAATATCGTCTTGGCTAGACATAGAAATCTTGGGTCAAGATTCATTCCCTTAGCGGCCTCACAATGTTATTCCATTATCTTCTACTTTGGTGCTCTGGGTGAGAAGTCCCATGCCAGTTTCATCCTGTTTGGCCTTTGTAAATTATTATTCTTTCTGGATGGAAGCTTTACATGTTTTCCCTTTATCCCCAAGATTCAGGAACAAAGAACATTGTCAGACTTTGGCTTGGTCAGACTTTTTTTAATATCAATCTTGCCTGGAATAGGGTGAAGCTTTCAAGAGTCAGACTCAAGCCTTCCTTTAGCTCAGTGCATTTTTAATGTATTAACTGTTTTAGTATAACCCTTTTAACCCTTTCTCCATCTCCTATTATTTTGTTCACCTGTAAGTACAATGTTAATGAATCCACAATACATACTAAATAAGGTGTATTTAAACGCAAACACACACAAAAGAAAGTTATGCATTGATCGATTGATGAGATGCTTTGGCAAGAGGCTCTCAGAAACCCAACCCTGTATTTCCTCAAGCAGCAATGGTTCAATACTTGCTAATTCAGTG